GATTTTTTTTTTTTTTTTTTTTAACAAAAATCCTAATTTTTTGTTTTTTTTTTCAGGATACTCTTTTTGAGACAACAAATTAAGGAACTTGAAAAGCTAAAAAATCAGAATTCCTTCATGGTTTGAAGATGTGAATGAATAATTGCACATGGTTTCGAGTACAGGAGCTGTAAATCTATTGCCCAGTCATCATATTTTTAAGCTGCATTTAAGTAGACTTTGGACCGTTAAGCTGGGCACATGAAATGACATGGGGATGGGGTCTGTGAGAGTCGATTCAGGGGAAAGATACAAGATTGATTTGTAAAACCCTTGAAATGTAGATTTCTTGTAGATGTATCTTCACGTTGTAAATATGTTTTGTAGAGTGAAGCCATGGGAAGCCATGTGTAACAGAGCTTAGACATCCAAAACTAATCAATGCTGAGGTGGCTAAATACCTAGCCTTTTACATGGAAACCTGTCTGCAAAATTAGTTTTTTTAAAAAAAAAAATTTTGGGGGGTTAATTTATCATTCAGAAATCTTGCATTTTCAAAATTCAGTGCAAGCGCCAGGCGATCTGTGTCTAAGGATACAATTTTGAACCATATGGGCAGTGTACAAAATATCATGGAACAACTGTTTCCACACTTGCACCTGATCAAGAGCAGTGCTTCTCCATTTGTTTAGCAAAGAAATGTTTTTCATTTCCTGTGTGTTCCATTTCCCTCTGAAATCCTTGACCCGATTTTATCCATTTTTTAAGGCTCCCTTTTCTCCTTTCTTAAGGCACTGCTGCTATGGCACTTTTCTATAACCTTTTCATTCCTGTGTACAGTAGCTTAAAATTGCAGTGATTGAGCATAACCCACGTTTGTATAAATTATTGAAATCCATTTGCACCCTGTAAGAATGGACTTAAAAGTAACTGCTGGGCATGTGTGCTGAAAGTACATTGATTGCTCAAATATAAGGAAATGGCCCAATGAACATGGTTGTGGGAGGGGAAAGAGGAAACAAAGCTAGTCAGATGTGAAATGTATCTGTTGTAATAAACATGTTTAAACAAACAAAATTTGTTTTTCTTTTCCTTCGGTCAGTGCATATTAGAATTTGAACTACCTGGGGGATTCTTTATCAAAACTATTCTTGTTGAATATTTATACATTATTAAAATTCCTTAAGGGAGGTTTTGTTTAAAGCATATTATTAGTAAATTGTGTAAAAGATATTTAATGAAATGTGAATTCAACAAGAATGATGAAGTCACTTCCCAAGTGGTGTCATTTGTTAAACCTGGTTTACCTGTCTTGCTATTATGACATTTCATTTCGAAGGATGTTTGTGTTGTAGCTAACTGTTCAAGTCTGGTGCTGACTGCTGTTCTTAGCCATCACAAAACGCTAACTTTGTGTAATTGGAGCTTCCTGCTGTTACCCAGAAATGGTAGGAAAGCTCAGCTTTGTATATTGTTTCCTAAAGTATATTAAAATAAAAAAAGAAACTATTGCTACTATAAAACTACCTTGGCTTTTTTTTCCTCCTTTGCTAAGAATATTAGTCACATGGCCTTAGCATGCCACTGCCAGTATTGTATAAGTCACAGGAGGTTTTGTACACAGAAAAGTATTTTAACCTCAGAATTATAACGTCTGAGCTTTATTGTTGAGGCAGATGTGTGCCTCCATATCTACTGTCACCAAGGGCTGATTTTTTTGTTGTTTTACACCCAAATCAATGTTAAGTACTTTCTGAGATACTGAAATTTCAAAATTACTTTGTGGTCGAATTATATTTGAAGCTATAGAAGATTTTGTAGTAACTAAAAAAGCTAAGTGATAATGTTACTGTTCCACTGTATGGAGAGGAAAAGTTTACGATAGAAGCTGAAGCTGATTCTATTCCCCCTTGGAATTCACTAGTACTTTTGAAATGTGAGAAAAGACAAATGTCCGTGATTTATTATGAATTGTTCATACCTACGGAGTTATTGCTGTTTGCCAAACTGTGTTAGTACATGTCACTTAGCTCCGAAGAGCTATGTTAAGCTAAACCCCTTCTTGTATCTTTTCTGGTGAAAATTACAGTTTGTAGTTTAATAGGTGAATGTTTCCTCTCAGGTGGCAGCTTGACTTGTGAGTTAAGGAAATGTCAATTTGTTTGTCAATACTCCATTTATTGATGTCACACTCTGTTCCTTTGTTTTAATGTTTACAATCCTACGTGGATTAAATGCATTTAGGAAAAATGCTTAGTAGGGAATTTCTTGAAATATATTGTTATATTTCATCCAGTTGCAGTTTTGTAGTAATATTTAAACATGGCACTTAAATGCAAATGTGGTAGGTTCAGCTCTTAATCCCCCTTGAGTTAATGATATAATTGTACAGCTGCAATATCCTGGGTTGTCCTTTATCTAGTTGCCTGGATTTTTGAACATGTAACTTGGTTTAGATAGTTTAAAAATAGAAATGCTGAATAGCCCTAGAGAACCATAGCCTAACACCCCCCCCCATTTAAAAAATCAGTCTGTATTTATTTAAACCTTAACTGCTATTACAACATGGCATCTCTGCTTGTTTTCTGTTTATTCAAACTTGATTTTAAAACTTAGACTATATTGTTTAATTTTTAAGCACACTGAAAACTCCATACTCCAGCTTTAAAATACTTGAAGACATACTTTTTTTAGATCCCTAAGTAGATGGTTTTGTATCTGTTTCACATTTGTGAGATCGTGGGAAGGAGCAGGGCCTTAAAAACGTGGAAATGGATTTGTTACCTATTTCAAATACAGGTTCATGTTCTGTTTAAACATACCCTTTAAAGGAATACTTGAAAGGGATCATGCAGGGAAGACACTTAACTCTGCCTACCAGACTCTTGAAGTTCCTGCTTAAAGCTAACTGTAATTAGGTGCTGGGTTTAAATATCCAGAGCTCTTTTCACTACCTGTAAATATGGCTATATTCTTGTATTTGTACAGGTGTACAAAATGATATTTAAAAGTAATAAATATGTTTTGGATTCTATTGTGCAGTTATTTCAGAACTGTGTGGAAATAACTCTTAAGAGGAACATTTGCATTTCGGAAGGAAATTTAAAATACTAGATTGCTGCTAAAATTTTGATAGTGTTTCAGTACAGAAACCAGATACTTCATGGTGACATACTCCCTTGCCTACAAGGAATCTGTCCGAGGCCACAGAAAAGGCTGGGAGACTATAAACATGTCAGCTGGCACCAAGTCTCTAGGACCTACTTCCATCATGGCCAAGCAGACTGAATAACGGTTTTACAGTTCTCTAGGTCTGGCCTCAGGACTAAGGCCAAAAAACATGCTTGGAAGAAACATAGTGCTCAGAGAGGTGGACTCAACAATACCAACTGGCTGTTCCCTTTTCATTTTCTTTCTGCAGCTTTTTATGGTGGGCTTCAAGAATAGTAATGAAATAAGGTCCGGAACTGAAACATTCAGATTATAGCAGAGGAGAAGATGGTGTATGTGGGGAGGGGTGAGGACTGAGGGTTCTGATTTCTCTCTGAATTAATAGCACCCACTTCTGTAAACTTTACTATATGCAGACACTGATAATGCACTTTGTGCTATATTAACTCTAGTTCCCTCAGCAACTCCATCCTATGTAGTAGCATGTATTTATTAAATCATTGAGAATTTCATACATGCATATAAGGTGTTTTGATCAAATCCATGCCCATTCCCTCCCCTGCAACTCCTCCCATATCCATCACTTTTTTCTGATAACTTCATGTACTCTTTATTTTTATGGGGCTTTTGGCTACTCTTAACATTTCCCCCCTCTGAAGAGGTAACCCTAAAGTCTTTTAAGGGTTAGATAACAAGCTCCCAAACACTTGAGTTTTGGCCTTTGAAACAGTATGTTGCCAAGAGGCCCAAGGACATTTTGACTTTTAGCCAAGA